CATAACTGTCATGTTGCTACTGTTATGAATCGTCATGTAAATATCTGATATGCAGGATGGTCTTAGGCGACCCCTGTGAAAGGATCGTTCAACTGCCAAAGGGGTCTCGACCCATAGGTTGAGAACCGCTTCTCTAAGGTATAGCTACGTGTGGAGAGCGGCTACAGTTTGGACACGTTCAAGCTTCGGACTAATGAGAGGGCACAGTCCTCTCATTGCCACGTGCAAGTCCCAGCTGGAGGGCCGGGCCTTCCCAGCACAATTATAGCCAACAGCTCTGGTTGTGAGCTTGAACCTATGGTCCGAACACGTGGCCCCACGTGCCTGAGTGATAGAGTTCAGGTGCATGTAGTTGAGTGGGACTGAAACCCAGAAGAATGCTGTAAACAACGTGATCACGCCCCTACTTTGCCTCGTGGCATCTGCTCTAAAATAAAGACACGGCTTGTAGGCGCCGGCGCTGTCCATCAGAGGGGCAGCGTCCCACCGAGATCCAGCTTTCATTCTCTTGTCTTTTCTTTCTTTTTTTTTCTTTTAAAATATATTTTTATTGATTTCAGAGAGGAGGGGAGAGGGAGAGAGAGAGAGAAACATCAATGATGAGAGAGAATCATTGATCAGCTGCCTCCCGCACGCCCCCCACTGGGGACCGAGCCCGCAAGCCAGGCATGTGCCCTTGAGCAGAATCGAACCCGGGACCCCTCAGTCCGCAGCCCGACGCTCCATCCACTGGGCCAAACCAGCCAGGGCTTGTCTGTCTTTTCTTAATCCTTTCATCGCCCGCACTCAGGGTCACTGAACCAGGCTGAGCTGGCGTGAGCATGCCATGGCCGTGCTGGCTCCCCACCGCTACGCGTGAATTTCCCTTCGTGACAAGAGAACACGTTCATCGGATGAAAAACAGGGCAATGTGCACTCTCCACGGTGACACGCAAAACCAATGCCTGTCTCGTAACTCCCTTATCTTTCTTGGGGCGGCACGTGTCTCGGGCTGAGCCGGCCCCGTAAACCAGGTGGGACTGGATGTGGGCTGACTGTGCACGATCAGGGGGTGTTTGGGGGATGATCTGTGAAGAATCCACGCACAGGAGCGCTATTTAGACTTAACACCACATGGCCCACGGCTCCTGCACCTGCTGAGGGCTCCTGCTCTCACTGAACTACAGTCCCAAGCGGAGTAAGTGCCTCACTGCAGGAACGCTCTCCCATAGACATTCAGAACGGTTACCTCCACACCAGTCTCTGAGGGTGCCCCCGCCCCAGCACAACGCATCCCATAGCTGAGCCTCCATTCAGTCCCTCTGGCTTCTCCCAGGGAAGCCCTGACCTTCTGAAGCAGGGCTGATGAACCACAAGTCAGCAACAGGAAGCCACGTGACATAACCATCGTCAACATTCAAAATCGAACGTGGCAAAATCTCGGGAAAAATTGGATTGTTTTTTTCCACACATAAAACCCGTCTCTCAAAATAAAGAGAGAAAGGAGACGAAGGACATGGCCAGAAGTCTACCAAGGTAAAGGTCTATATATAAAAAAAATTTTAACCCGAAAAGGGACATTTCCTCGAAGGTGTATTTAGGACAGCGCTCCCATCCATTTTTTAAAAAAATATATTTTATTGATTTTTTACAGAGAGGAAGGGAGAGGGATAGAGAGGTAGAAACATCGATGAGAGAGAAACATCCATCAGCTGCCTCCTGCACACCTCCTACTGGGGATGTGCCCGTAACCAAGGTACATGCCCTTGACCGGAATCGAACCCGGGACCCTTCAGTCCGCAGGCCGACGCTCTATCCCCTGAGCCAAACCGGTTAGGGCTCATCTGTGACTTTTCGGTGTAAGAACAGGTGAGGGCCTGGTACTCAGCCTGCCTCCGGGTGCAGAATGACAACCGCAATTTCAACTCGGAAGGCAAAACTGTACACAGAACCCAGGTAACACAGCCGGAGTCCCGGACACTTCACATTTCTAAAGAATCTCTCTGCCTTCTCTCTTGCCTCCTTCCACCCGGGCACGGTGATCCTGTGACATTTCACTGCTGAGCCCAGTCCAGCTCGGCCAGATGCCTCAGCGATGCCAACCCTGCCCAGGTCCCCCGTGGCTCCCGGTCCTGGGGGGCCCTCCATTCACCTGGCAGGTAGGTGGTGGGGGGGGGAGGGTGCAAAGCCGCCTCCTCACAGCCACAGGGTGTGTGACCTGCTCTCGGTCACAGCTCTCAAGGAGGTCAGCCTCCAGGAGGTATGCATGGCTAGCCTGACAGCGTGCAGGTACTGAGCTTATTAGAGAGAGAGAGAGAGAGAGAGAGCGCAAAAGAGCGAGCGCACGGTCAAGTTTGAAGGTCCGTGCTTCCCACCCACGGATCATTCAATCGGTGAGCAAACCCCGTGGCCCCCCCAAAACGCACGCCAACTGCTCGGAAGCGCGGGGGTGACCCGGGCCCCACGGGCACTCCGATCACGCCGGGCGATCGATGGAACCGCGTCCACGACTGGTCAGCGTCTCGGGGCGACGGGAGAAAAGCAGAAGCCGCCGCGAGCTCCTACCTGCAGCGACGCGGTGCAAGCCTCCTCCTCCTCCTCCTCCTCCTCCTCCTCGGGGCCCTGCAAAACCTCCGTGTGCTGCTGCGCCTGTAGCTCCTTTAGCTCCTGCGTTGTCAGTTCCTCAGAGTGCTCCTCGATGAGCTCATTGATGTCACCTTCCTTTATATCCGTGCTCGCTGCCTCACCATGTCTGACAACGGAGTGAATGCCAGTCCTCTTTTTAAAAATTTCGAACCAGCCCCGACTGGCTTTAAACGGCTCGCCCGATGCCTCATCCATTGAAGTGCCTGGGGTCTGCTGCAGCAAATCAGCGTAAATAGCTCGTGCCTTCTCGCAGATTATAGCCTTCGTCACGGTATCTCCTGCGAGCTGCTTCTCCGTTAACCACACCATTAGCAGCTTCTCCATATTTTCATGGATAGATGTCCGCTGTTTAGAAATTATTTTAACGCCCTTGGCTGGAG